TGTCACATTCTACTTACACCAGTAGCAGAATTTAGTCCAGTGAACAAGCATGTTTCTTAAGCTGTTTATCATGCAGCACAGTGCAGTAATTTCCATTAGCAAGGTGTGTAGATGTCATAAGTGTATTCTGTAGTAAAATTCTACCATAACCCTTTCAACCACAGATACAATGTAATTATATCATCATGAGACAGATTAGATCAATGCAATGAGGAATTTACAGACCAATTAATATAATGACAACATTCAAAAACAGTGTGACTTATTCAAATGCTGTTGAATTCTACTTTTAGGAAAACAGATAATTTTAACTTTTTTCCTTCAAAACAGATCTCTATCCAGAGAATATTGAATCCCCACTGCGTCCAGCAATAAAAAGAGTTTGTTTCTCTTAGCATTAGTAATTATGTATCAATATGCTAACTGTCAGAGAAGATAGAGACTACTTTGGGAAACAAGGGATGTTACTCATAAAACGAAAGTCATTATCTCTATATAGACAATAATTTCAAAATAAATTTCCTAAGAAGTACACAGATTACTTCTACTTAAATGTAAGCAATATTTATACTAACTTACTTCTGTATTAGCATGAGGAACAACCTATACTGAAAGTTAGCATCAATTCTAGGAAGAATAGCAGATTTCTTCCTCAGGAGATGAAATTAGAGACCCTTTGATTTCTCTGAAAAGCCACCATTATTTTGGAGAATGTTATCTGTGTATTCTGTATTGGTATCTGTTTGTAAATTAGTATATGAAGTACTAAGAACTCTTCAGATAATGCAAAAAGACTGGAGCTTGCTTTAAGAGATCCCACTTACTATGGGAGATTAGTTTGATTCTCTGCAGACAGCCTTTTCATCAGTGCTCCCAGCGAAAGGGAAGAGGCTTGAAAAAGCAAATGGAATTGAGCAAACCAGTAATTGGTTACAGGAGTGGTGCCACAGCCAGGTCTTCATCTACTTGCATCATGGAACTAGCTTTGAGAAACCTGGTCTCCTAGAGGCTGATGAAGTTCACCTCTAAGAGAAGTGGGAGAGCATCTTTGGCCATAGGTTTGCCAATCTAGAAAGGGAGCTTTAAATTACAGTTGTGAGGGGAGGGGATCCTCAATCCATCCAACTGCCACCACTTTGAGGCCAGTGCCAGTAATAGATACGCTGGGCCTGGAGAAGGATCACAGGCCAGCAGAACAACACCTGAAATAGACACTATTCATAGACAACAAGCTGATGAACATAGGCTCTCTTCACAGCACTCCTCTTCAACTTGAAGTTCTGTTTTCCCAGGAAGTGCTTCATAACCACCTTCCCTGGACCTGCATTCTGTGGGTACTGTCCTCATCTTCAGATGCTGACCATGGCCGAGTCCTAGGACTGCCCTCTAGAAAGCCATGAGCTGGGTATGCACTACCATCTGCATGACTTGGCTTCCACCTACGGCAAATGCAGATGTATAAACATCTGGATTTTCTGAACTACAGTATGCACCATGTAAGATAGATGACTTCATAAGATTATTAAACTTAAGAGGCTTTTCTTCTTCATCAAGGCAAACGTGGAGACTAAGGTCTACTAAGAGAATACTTCCATAAGGAGGACAGTAACTAGGTCTATATTACCAACCTAGTGCAACAGAAGAGCATGTGTGTTGTTGCACCAGTGCCCTCTTCACCCTTACCCATATAGAATCTCATGCAAAAAGACCTATTTCTGTTCTGCAGGTTATATGATAAGGTAACTAATGTCTGGCTCACCCTCCTCACTCTGGCTTCAAGAATATGCAGTGCAATATGCTGTACAGAAACAGCAGGAGGCCAGTTTCTACAGCTGCACTGAAAGTACCTGGTAGACACTTCAAGTGAACCAGTGCCTCATCTCAGACCGCATAGTTTATCTTTCCAAGAAGGGACAAGATCATTTGGAGCATCCAAATGCATATAGATATCAGGAGAGATACTAACGCACAATCCCTTGGTCACAAGATGATATCCAGATATGGACAATGCACATGCTCTATTCATGTCTGTTTTGTGTAGAGCACAGAGGTAGCATGTGTGCTTGGCTGTCTGACTGGCAGATAAAAAGCTTCACCCAGACTAGTTGCTGATGTTCCACCACTGGCACCTTCTGAGTTGCAGGTACTGCTCTGCTTTGCAGAGCTGCTGTGAAGAAAAGTTTTAATGTGTAGAAGGGTTAGCCATTGGGTCTAGGACACCTCTCCACAGGCCGTTCTACACAGGACAACTCTATGTTACCAACAGATGATGTGGGTCCTTCCCACACACTATGAGGTCTGCAAATCCCTTGAACATCAGCAGGGGCCCTGAGGGGTCTCACATGGGAGACAGAGGAAAGACCACAAGTGAGCTCATTCCTGCCCTGCCTGGGAGATTAGGGGGAAGCAGTGGGGGGATAAGCTCCAGGCACAGGGTGTGTGTGTGGAAAGCAGCTGCTGGTCACATCCATCTCACAAGTAGCAGCCAAGCAGTATGATTTTTTTGTGATCCAATATATGAGAAAACACCATTTGCAACATGTGCAAGCTGATTAATCATATGCCCTCGTTGTGCTTGGTCATCAGAGATGTATACCTTGCTCCACATTTGTTTCCAGTGATTCATTAATAAAGTAATATTTAAATTAATGGTTAGATAAAGGCAACAGTGAGATAAGGGCAACTACATCAAACATGAAATGCCAATATTAAAATAACGGCAATGCAATGCCAGGAGATAATATTAAAAGTAATTATGAGGTAAAGGCAACAATGAGATAAAGGCAAATAAATCAAACATGAAATACAAGAAATTAAGATTTTGGCTGGCATAAGTGAAGCCAGCTATCGTGCAGGCAGGGTGCAAGGCAGGTGGGGAGGACTACAGAGCAGGCAGCTGCCCCACTACCACCTGCTGAGCCCCCGTGGTGCTCCAGTGCTGGTCCTGCCATGTGCACTGTGCAGATGGGGAAGGAGTGCTGCCCTGGCAGGCACTACTGGATCAAGTTCCCAGTTGCCCAGGGCTGAGGAGGATGCTGGGGGTGGTGGGTCACCATGCTGTTTAAGTCCCTTATTTAAAAAACAACACCACCCATAAAAGAGAAAAGAAAAAAAATCTGACCACAATAACCAAATAAAACAAGCCAAGGACAACAAATAGTAGGGTCTTACATGAGGCAGTGCTCAGGCAGCCACCTTCTCCCCCATGCCCGAGGATGCTCTCCCCAGCTTGCCCCCCTACCTCCACACCTCCTTCTCCTCCCCCTAATGAAAAGTAGTCTGCAGGCAGAGCAGAAAGCAGATCACTGGCAGTTCCCCCTTTGCCTCCCATGAGAGGCTGTTTGCTTCTGGGAGCCCCCACCTTGTGCTGGAGAGAACCAGCAGCACCTGCTGGTAGTGCAGATCTGTGCCCTGTAGGGTTGTTCTGGGGAGAGGTGGCCCATTCGGTTAGCCAAGATGAGAAGGGAGTAGTTGAATGGGGACTTAAAGGAGTAAGAAAAGACATACAGCATACTGCAAAGGGTTTGATAGGGCTAAAGCAAGCAAAGGAAGAAAGGAGTTCCAACAGAAAGTGCAGACAAATTAGAGAGAACACAAGCATGAAACACACAGGTGCATATGCCCTTGTTTGTGGCATTCACCACTTCAGGGTATCATGGGTATTCTTGCTAAATTCACAAGCTCTTAATTGGCACACGTGTAACATACATGCTGAAAGATTATGAAACTAACCCCACCTTGTTTTTCAAGTTCATGGATTTATCAAGTGTTGTCCTGTATCTGAAGCAGAACAGTTCCTCGGAAAACCAGTGAGTTCACTGCTCTGAACTAAACAAAAACAGTCCAGAGAAACCATGAGGGAACCACATCAAAACTGCATTGCTGCTCCAAATCAATTGCTCATGTTATAAGCTACTGCTTTCCTAAAATTAGCTCCTTAACATCTGAAAGCCAGCAGTCAATCTGTATACTAAGGCTTCACAGAGAACACATCAGTTTTTTGAAACATCCCATGATGGTTACTTAACCTCACTTCTCCAAATTTGTCTTTGTGACAAACTTATCTCCTTTTAGCTCCCAACTACTGAACCTTGTTTAGCTGCTACCTGTAGCTTTCTGTTATTTCTCTTCCACATGTAGTTTCACGTTGACCGAAGAAATGTCTTGTCCCTCAGCAAAAATGCTTCCTTGCTAATGTTATATTTTTAATCTTCTGCTGAATTTTATTATTATTTTTTTTTGCAATTTTAAACAGAGGCTTCCAGACATGGCCAGATGTTTTTGAAGAACCACAACATAATAGTCCAGTTATAGCACTTCTGCATTTGAACTGACCAAGCATGAACTACAGATATTTGGAGGTATCTAGCTGGAATGAATACCAAATAGCAGTTATAAATATGCCCTATATTCTGATTATGTTTATGTGCATTACAAAACAAAATGAAAAATCCTGAAAGATATTCTAGTTACAGCAATCAAAGAAGCAAGAAGTCTTAGGTTTGGCTGCTTTATAGTCATGCCAAAGTTTATCTAAAGACTTATTGTAACACTCTCAAAACGGCCAGCAAGTGACACTATTAAAATAGTTGCTATACCAGGAATCTTAGTTTTCGGGGTAACTTTTTAAAGCAGTATTTTTACTTATAATAGTCATGAAAGCAACACTTTGCTTATGCTTAGCAGTACCAGAAATAAATATACGGAAGCATATTATCTGAGGGGGAAAAAAAAACCAAACCAAACACCAACAAAAAACCTCAAAAAACAAAACACGAAAATAAACTCAGACCAAACTACAGAAGTATTCAGACCTGAAGGAAAATGAACCTAACTATTATCATTTATACAGATATATCTTTTAGAAACCCTTGAAACAGAACCAACCACAAGAAAACCTGAGCAAGTGTCTTACTACTTTAATTTTTTAAGACCTTTCAGTAAGGAAGAAATGATTGATGGCTCCTGACTCGTGATTTGTTTATAGCACTGTATTCCAATACCCTTTAATTAAGGTATTAAGGTAGGGCATTGGAAACAAAGTCTATATTGCATCAGTCTTCAACAGTTTTGATCAATAGATCTTCTAATCAGTGTCTTGTTGGATCCAAGTTTAAGGAGACTGGAATTTCAGAAGTACCAAGAGAATTTCAAGAATATGGAAGTGCCTGACATCCACAGAAGTCACTCCCTTTGTGCCTCAATTTCTCAATTTTTAGACCACAAGCACTACTGCCTCCTAATCTTGGCAAGAATTTATTTCAATGTAAATTTTTTCAATCTTTTAGTCACGATAGCAGTTAGCACAGTGGTTCTCTATTGTCATCTGCAATCTGTAATAAAGATGAAAACTGCTTATTCTTGCTGTAAAGGGCTCAAGAAATCTGGGAGAAACACTAACTTGTTCTGATTCCAGAACAACAAGAAGGATGGCACTGGGTCAGATCAAGGATCCACACAGCCCAGTATTCTGCCTTTGGCTGACAAGGCAGAATATCCTGGTTTAACTTCAGATCAAAAGATCTTTCTGCAAAGATTTCTGTGGAAAATTATACAGTATTTTTGACAGCAGGCAAAAGTAGATGCCTAGGAAAGAAAAAATAGGGCAAAGACAACACTTGACCACTAAACATCTTAGGCATTTAATCATATGCGTAGCTTCAAGTATAAATGTAACCTCACTTCCTGATAGAGGTGAATGAATGATCAACCACTTCACCCTCCTCCTCATGGGCCAGTTTTGTTCTTTGCTAAAGGCCACTGCTGTTATGAGGGTGGGTGGGCTGGTGCATGTGCGTGGATGCACATGTAAATATCCTAATGCCATGGACTTTTGGCATTAGAAGTTGTATCTTGGCATTTAGCAGCTACCATTATTGGTTGTTTACCTCTTGAATTTAGTCACTTCTCTTTGACCACACACAAATCTTTAATACCCACAACATCAAAAAACAAGATATATCAGCTAAATCAACACGTCATGTGGAAAATCAGCTTTGTTTGTTCTAAATCTGTATGCTGCTGCTTCCATTTAGAGCCTCAAGTTCCCATACTGAAAAAAAACCAACATAATCCACATTTATTTTGGTGTTAAAGAACAGGGATGACAGTCAGCTGATCTAGCATTTACATTGTCGGAAAAAGTGTAATTTCCTAGTTCTAAAATACAAAGGGTTGAAAGGCTTCCAAACTACAGCAAAAGAGAGAATTAACTATGAGGAAAGATGTAACATGGGCCTACTACAAAATTATAATGAAAAATAAAAAGCTGTGAAGACAACACTCTAGAAACATGTTTTAGCTCACCTGTAATAAAACATGGATGTTTTAACCAGCCCGAAGGGTATTTTGCATAGTTGCTTAAGCTTCGGCCTTGCAAGTATCCATTGCAAACACAGAACAGAAGTGCTAGCACAAAAGTAAGAAATGGTGTTGGTTTTCCTTCCCGGATCAGAAGAGGAAATATGAGTGACCTACAGCAAACAAAGAAAGAAAAATTGATGCATTAACAGACAGAAAAAATATTTTTGATGTCCAAAACCATAATCCACAGTCCATATTATCCTGCTTTTCAAGTTCTCAGTGCAATCTTTGATCCTGGCTCACAAGGACAATCATGGTTGATTTAATACCTAAGCATCAATTTTGTTGCTTATTGGAATTACGACATCAACCCTCTCCCCCCTTACAATAGAAATGTTGAGCCTTGTATCCAAGGCAATTACTTGGACATGAGCAGTAAGAGCAACAAGAGCAACTGATAAGCACAGCGTATTTTTGTCCCCCTTTATTCTTAAATCCTTAATGTTAACCATCAAGCTTTCTGAAATTATCTCAATCCCTACACCAAATCCACCAGTGGATTCCAGAGGTGGAAGTCAATCCCCTTGAAATAACCCTAATCAAGTCTCCTCCTTGCCCTAAAAATCACTTTGAAACATTGATTGCTTTGCCTCAACAATTTTGTTCTACCCTTGTTCAGTTTTGAGCCAGGATGAAGCCACTTTTACTGTGTGTTTTTCTTCCCCTTCAGTAAGCTGTCTTTTAATTAGTAGCAAAGTGTTCCAGCTTGGAAAGATAACAAATGGTGGAATGTTTTTCTAACTCCTGGGTCTTCAAAGTCACACCTATACTCTGCCAGCTCAGACATGCAAGGAGATTCATGACCGCTCTTGTAGGAGGCTCAAGCCAGGACAACCCTATGACAAAACCCACAAGTGCCATCCCACCTGGGAAAGGAATTTTGATTGCTTTTCCAGGGGATTATGTGAGTAAACAAACAAGCTCCAAACAAGAAAAGCAAGTGAACATTTTTGTGCTGTGTGTAACTAGCCAACTCCCAATTGCTTATCAATTTAATTACAGTCTAAAATTATAAAGAAGCAGGATTACTGAAGCCTGAGCGCTCTTCATGTTCTCCAGCCACCTAAGTCTACCACTTCAAAGAGCATTTCCAGCAGAAGCAACACTGTAATGGCTTTCAAGAAAGCAGAACAAATTAATTAATATGATTATTTAATGCCTGCTACATTACAACAAACGTAATCGGATAACGGAGGCCTCTTCCAGTCTACACTCACCAGTCTCTCAATGAGGCACCAGCAATAAGCAGCTGGCAACAAGAAACTGCAGCACAGCTCAGCTTTCCATACAACCCATTGCTTTGCATTTCTAGCTTCTTCCAGGCATTGAGGATGAGTTAAGATCCCATGCCAAAGCCTATCTCCTTACTCTTAAGAACAGAAAAAGAGGGAGTAAAGACATGCTCCTGGGTTTGCAAACCAGTCAGCCACCAGGCCAACTACATGTTGCATCCCTCTCAACTGTGAGGATGTGGAAAACCTTTGGTCAAAAGCAACAGCCTCTCAAAACAAGCGCTGGAAAAGAGCTGCAGATCAGCCACGCACTCAGCTTAAAATCAGCCTGACAGAACTACCCCTGCTGTTATGAGCAAAATTGTTCGTGGAGCATTAACTGTAGCTATTGTCAGCGACTGGAAGGGAACAGCAAAGCCTTCGTGGAGCTGCAGCCAGGCTGCCTTCTCTCAAGCAGTTTTACAAAACACCCAAATGCCAGTGACCATGTGCTGACATGGGGCACTCTCAGTGTTTTAATGAATCACCGAATATCCAGAGTCGGAAGAGACCCACGAGCATCATCAAGTCCAGCTCCTGAAATAACGCTATGTTGAAAGGCGCAACTTATAAACAGCTACACACTTTCACAATATTGAAATTATACCAGCGTCTGAATCCGAACTTTCCTCGTTGGAAGATCCTGCCTTTAAGGCAGCCAGACCCAGCCACTGCTCGAGCGAGCGTCACCGCAAGAGCTGCGCCTACAGCCCGCGGATGATGCGGCCCCC